CAACAAGCTCTGGGAGCGAAATAATAGTTCATAAATGGCCGGAAAAATCTATACACGAACTTTTAAATCAGCACCAACAATATATTCTTCCAACTGTTTGCTATTTTAGGTTCTATGAAACAGGGAGATGTGACCATAGCTTTACCATTGGTTTATGGATTACTAGAAAATAAACAACAAATTGTGTATGAAAAAATTTTCAAAGTTATATTAAAAAAAAGCAAGAGAGTTGAATATTGAAATCAATTTGCCGTCCCTACCCGGATAGCACCGAAACTTCCCTGAACCTTGCTTGACGAGGTTCGGGAACTTGAGTCGCGAGGTCCAAACGAGGTTGAGTTAATGTTTAAATGTCCGCGCATAATAAAGGTCAGTCACAGAGGTTGGCTGAATATTGGATTTGAATTTTTGTTAAATATTAAAATTAAAGATTCTTGGCATATTGTAAGGGGATATTTAAGGAAATTAAAAATTCAAGATTTGTTAAATGTAATCGTTAAATATTCTGGAAATTTAGAAGGAGCATAAATACGGAAAAATAAAAAAAAAGCAAATGAATTTAAAAAACTATTGAAAATTGCATTTTCTATGACATGGGAATGCGTAAATAAAACAGAAATTAATAGACAATAGATAATAATTCAGTCAAAGTTCGGTGCTGTCCGGGTAGTTATGACTGACTTCGAAGTGGAATTAATAAATGCAGCAAAAATGGCAATTGATGAGGATCGAGTTTGTTGCTGCTTCTTTCATTTATGACAAAGCGTTTATAGGCATATGTGCAAGCCGAAGGCACCCAACAGGCTTACATGAATGAAGAGGACAGAAACATTAAAATTGGGTGTCACATGCTAACAGCGTTGGCTTTTGTACCTCCTGATGAAATTGGAAATCATTTCAACACTTTAATTGACGAATTATCAGAAGACCTCTTACCAATTGCTGATTATTTCGAGGTAACGTATGTTCGTGGTAAACGAGCAAGAGGAAGAAGAAGAGCAGTTCCTACCCGATATCATCCACAATTATGATGTCAATATAATGCAGTTTTGGACAATACAGCTCGAACCAATAACATATCCGAGGGTTGGCACAATCGATTGCAAGTTATCATTGGTCGAAAGCATTCGAGTATGTACGCGTTTCTAAGAGAACAACAAAAAGAGCAGGCAGATACCGAAAGTATGTTAAGGCAGTTGGAATTGGATCAGAAAATTAAAAAAAAATGTTTCTTCCAAGCAAAAGAGGCTAATCGAAAGACTCCACACTATTGTATTGACGTATGATGACCACGTTGACAATGACATAATAACGTATCTACGATCAATTGGTCACAATATATATATACATTTTTAATAAATTATTATATTTACATTTAAAACAGAAAGTAAAAAGTTAAAATAAATTTTAGAAATCAAATTTTGTTAGAAAATTTTTTTTTTTTTAGAAAACCGACTTCATTAGAAAACGCTTTTTTTTAGAAAAAAAGGATTAGAAAATATTTTTTAAAAAAAGTGACCACCTGCCTAAAAGTCAAATGCAAAAATATTACAGATACATGGCAAAATAAATTTCATACACAAGAGGGTCATTGCCATCCGCAGCTCCGGATATCAGATGGTCATGTATAAATTATGCGTTGCAATTTCGAGATTGGACATCATCATCATCCTGACCAAGAGACCGGTGATCTTTAGCCTTCAGGCAATCCGCTTTAATGCTATCTTAACCTATAATGAGATATCCTACACTCTTTACTGTTACCATTTATTATTATTTGTCCCTTCAAGACTTATATATATATATAGTCGAATTTAAATCTATACCAACAGAAAATAAATTAACATCAAATCTACTAATTTTTTCTTTTTTCCTATTGATATTTATATTCTTTTTTTTGACGTTACGTAAAAATTGGCAACCAAAAAATTAAGTGCTCTTAGTTTCAGTTTAATGAGGAAATGATTATCTTATAAAGGACGACATGTATTGCTGTTTGCGCAGTGAAGATGAAAAGGTGAAGGCAAAATAAATAATGATGCTGGACATTGACTTTTTATTTTTGAAAGCTAATTTTAATTAAGTACTTTTAAACCAAGTAAATTGCTTTTTATGTCGCTGTATATATATAGTGTGGAGAGTAAGAAAGAAAGAGAGGCTGCATGCGAACCACTTTGGAAGATTCGAGACTTTGAGGTTACATCCTTTAAGAAAAACCCCGCCTCCTTTATCAAGTTATTAGCAGGAAATTGCCCCATAAATTACACAAGATCGGAGTGATTTTCATTGATGTGAGTGTCGCCCTGTTCTCTTAAGGTCGTGAGAGAGCAAACTCATCATTTTTTTTTTTTTTTAAAAAAAAAAAAAAACTATTTTTTCCAGAGTAGCAAATATTTTGTTTTTAATTCTAAATAAAAAAATTCTTTAGATGGGAATTAACAAGACTAATTGAAATTACTGATGTTTGAACTATATGGTTTAAATTCATTTCCTTATACTTCTAGGATAATTCTTTATTTTTTTTTGTTGTAAATTTTGCTATTTGCCGTGCGCGGTATACTATATAATTAACTGAAATGGGTGTGTTTGAAAAGTACAACATTGTTAATCAGAGTGCTTGGCTTGTGGAAGCAGAAAATAAAAGCTGATTGCTCTGGTTTACGAGTTGTCAGGATTGAAGGGCGTTACTAGAATTTTTTTTCTGTATATATATATATATATATATATAACCAGCATCATTGGATCTCTTGTGGTCGTCAGTTGAGTGAAGATCATTGGTATACGGTGTGCGGTACAGTTACACTACTTGACGCCACCTAAAGAAAATGTAGTGCCCGAAGTCACGCACCACCTTCGCGTGTAGTCAGGCTTCGGAGACTTACTCCGGTAATTAACCGGTAATGAGCGATGACCGACTCTGAGGTTACAGCACCGATATATATATATATATATATATATATATATACCCTACCATTTCTTACAAACATCATCCCAACTTGGGGATAAAGTCTTCCAAGCAATTGCGTACAATATATAAAAACCATCGAGAAGATGAAAACCTAATGGAATATAAATCACGTGAGTACATGGAGAAAAAAAGAATTGTTGTGGTTACTAAAATTTAAGTCCACACAACAATTCCGGATTGTCAATATAGAACCAGCAGTTCTATTTGTTTATGGAACAACAAAAATTGTTGAAATGGGATTGTTATTAAAACTATTCGGATTGTTCGATGAGCAAACAGAATTGTTTGAGGAACATAGAAAATTGTTATGCAACAGTTGAAATAACAAAAGTAAATTATTAAATCGTCAATACAATTTGTTGTATTAACAAAGCTTTGATCCGTCTAATACAATTTGTTCAGTTTCTTCGCCTTCTAAAATAATCGATAGCAGATTTCCGTATGTCATATCACCAGTTTCATTTGCATTAAAATCTGTGGAACATGCAGCTTCTGAAACAAATTCTTTCACCTGAAATCAAAAAATTATTTTGAGTTGAAATTTGTTAAATAATATTTAATATACAGTTTGTATTTTTTAAGGTGAGGTTATGTTCAATAGTAACCGAGTATAATTTACCGATAAATGATGAAATTGTCTCTTTATCCATTTCCTACACTTGCAATAGATTTCTCACTTTAACCGGATTCATTATTTAACAGAACTTTGTCAATTAAAAAAAAAAATAATAATAATAATAAAAGCAAAAGTGGCACATGTGCCAGAAGCAAACTACGTGACAATCTGCACGCCAGTTTGCAAGAATTCAAGATGACCACGTGACATGGAACAATAAACCTATCAGCTGAACAAATCCAGATTGTTCCATAAGCAATCGACAGAGAGTTTGCTTCTGCAACTGTACGAAATTGAAAACTGAACAAAACTGACAACAAAAAATTCGTATTGTTGTTAAAATAACATACATTTGTATTGACAACAATCCGAATTGTAGTATTAATATTTCGAATTGTAATATCAACAAATCTACTGACAACAATCCAAAAATTATTTGCACAACAATCCCATGTTTCTCCGTGTAGTAGCGTATTTTTTTTTATCCTGATTAAAATCAACCCGCGTGAATATCGAAGTATGGGAAAAAAACCATCAAAAGCCAACAAAGTATGGGAAAATTTTTTTATCAAACTTTTCAGATTTTTCGCGCACTTTAAAGTATGGGCAAAATTAAGCAAACCTTGGGTTATGAGCATTTCCTATACTTTGCTTTCACATTACAAAATGACAAAAATCTTGTCAAAATTAGTTCTTCAAAGTACGGCAAACATTGGAAAAAACTCAGGGCTAAGAAGAAATCATTTTTTCTCATTTTTTTTTACTTTTTAAAATTACACTTTTTAAAGTACAGTAAAAATTAGGAAAAATTCGCGGTCAAGAAAAATTCATTTTTCATCAATTTTTGACTTTCTAAAATTAGTTTTTCAAAGTACGGAAAAATTAGGAAAAATTCGTGGCCAAGAAAAATTTAATTTTCCTCTTTTTTTTTAATTTCAAAAATTAATTTTTCTTGGCCCCGAATTTTTCCTAAATTTTCCTGTACTTTGAAAAACTAATTTTAGAAAGTAAATTAAAAGAGGGAAAATGAATTTTTCTTGGCCCCGAATTTTCCCAAATTTTCCCGTACTCTGAAAAACTAATTTTAAAAAGTAAAAAATGAGAAAAAATGAATTTTTCTTGGCCCCTATTTTTCTCAAATTTTCCCGTACATTGAAAGACAAATTTTTAAAAGTAAAAAAATGAGAAAAAATTAATTTTTCTATCCCCGAATTTTCCCAAATTTTCCCGTACTTTGAAAAACTAATTTTCAAAAGTAAAGAATGAATTTTTCTACGCTGGAATTTTCTTCAAAATTAGAACTAAAATTATAATCATTAAAAGAATTGCAGATGTGATTAAGTAAAATTATGTTAAAAATCAAAATTCAGAATTAGGATTTTTAGAATTAGGATATGAAAACATTTCAAAAACGAGAATTTTTTAAATTTCTTTTTAATTATACTTTTTAATTCAACACTTTTTCGAATTGAAATTTTACAATAAAACGTTTTACATTGTATATATATATGAGGCATTCTTCGTCAACGGGACCCCCCTGCTCTCCAAAAATGGTTTATGTTTAAATTATCGGGCATAGGCTTAAAATTTAGCTAAAAAGGAATACTTTTAAATGCCGAATGGCACTTTTTGAAATTTCAAAATGGCGGCTGAAATATGTCGGGCGAATTTTCAAAAATTAATTTATTTCACTTGATACTTGTTACTCGGGGGTTTTTGGGGTCGCTGATTACGAATCTGATGTCAGAATTTCAAAATTCAATATGGCGAATCCAATATGGCGGACGAATTTTTAAAAAAGGCCTGGAGATACTTAAAACTTGTTACTCGGGGGTTTTTGGGGTCGCTGATTACGAATCTGAAGTCAGAATTTCAAAATTCAATATGGCGTATCCAATATGGCTGACAAATTTTTTAAAAAGTGATTGGATTTGCTTGAAACTTGTTACTCGTAGGTTTTTGGGGTCGCTAAATACGAATCTGAAGTCAGAATTTAAACATTCAATAGTATGGATCCAGTATGGCGGACTACTTTATTTAAATGTAATTTTTTAATGTCTTAATGTCTTTAATGTCTTGTGTAAATACCAGTTAAAGTTGATGCAAATTGATTAAAATACTCAATTTCTTCTAAAGATTTTGTTGAAGAATTATGTCATAAACTTGCGAAATTAAAATCATATTCATTATTACAAAGCAGCAAATTTAGTATATGAAAAATCGGAAAAGTAATATTTGTGACATTCAATTCTATACAAAAATATTCGCAAGAAACTTTACGAAAATTACAGAAAATTTCTCGGGAATCCATTTTTCCGATACTAATCCGGGATTTTCTAGGGAATTTTCCGAGAATCAATACCTTGAGAATATTCAGGTATATTATTAAGTAGGAAAAATCAGTACATTTATTTTTTTCTAGAAAATTATAATTTAGGACAAGTTGCTGTTCAAATACTCATTGTACTAAGATTTCTCATTAGAAAGATATGACAGTGACAGACCGTGTAACACAGAAACCTTTTTTTAAAATTTTTAAAGTTTACGAAAATCTAATAAAATTAAAAAATATCGTCCCATATATTTTACACAGTTAGAATTATTGAAAATTGACCTTATATTTATGTAATCAGCTAACCTAAAAACCAGTAACTAACATTTATCATGTAAATCATATAAGTTAAAATAATCGTTTGTTATATGTGATACAATATATTGAATTTTTTAAAAATTAACTTATATTCAAAAGCAACTACTCTAAAACATCCTTAGTAACAATTTTTATTAAAAAAATTACATTTAAATAAAGTGGTCCGCCATACTGGATCCATACTATTGAATTTTTAAATTCTGACTTCAGATTCGTATTTAGCGACCCCAAAAACCTACGAGTAACAAGTTTCAAGCAAATCCAATCACTTTTTAAAAAATTTGTCAGCCATATTGGATACGCCATATTGAATTTTGAAATTCTGACTTCAGATTCGTAATCAGCGACCCCAAAAATCCCCGAGTAACAAGTTTTAAGTATCTCCAGGCCTTTTTTAAAAATTCGTCCGCCATATTGGATTCGCCATATTGAATTTTGAAATTCTGACATCAGATTCGTAATCAGCGACCCCAAAAACCCCCGAGTAACAAGTATCAAGTGAAATAAATTAATTTGTATTCACGAAAAACGAGATTTCTTAGTTCTATATATATTAACGCAATATACAATATTATTATTAGATTTAAAAATTTCTTTTTCTCTCCGTTTTTATTTTATAATTATTTCTTTTCTATATTTTCTCTCTTTTCTTTTTCAAATTTTTTCAAAAAATCAAATATTTTCTCGTAAATATACTTCTCAGCATATTCTCCATACATAAAATCAAAATGACAAATTTTTTTACTATTTATAATTATTCCACCATAAACATTTGGTAATTGCTCATAAAGTTTTTCAACATTCTAAAAAAAAGGAACAAATTTCTAAAATAAATTACTCATTTTTTTATAATGAGTGTTATAAATAAAAAATAATTATTTAAAAAAACTAAACTTAAATTACATTTTTATAATTTAAAGATACGTTATCTTTAAAGAGCACACGCTCAAAGCATCATAATTTTTGGCCTCTGGTGTTAAAATTTTAAGATAAGAAACAATAATAATTGTTAAAATTTGATAGTAAACAATTTTAAAATTTTAACTCCTATGCCAAAAAATGATGTTAATTCGAGTGTGTGCCCTTTTAACATTCAGAGTCTCAATTAATTGTTAATTACCTCTGGCGTTGAAAAAACATCTCCATAAGAAGTAATTAGAACCACAGGAATTTTAATTTTCTTTAAATTATATTCTGGAGGGCTAGAATTATTATAAATTTCAAAATTTTTTTCACCATAATCAAATTGACGAAATTTCCCAGTGTCACGTTGTTGTGACAAATGTTTAATTGTTTTAACTGAAGTTGTACCAAATGATACTTTCAAGACTTGTTCAAGATAATTCTATAGATGTAAAAGAAAATATAAGTAAGTGTTACGTAATTTATGGACGACTCCTTATTGAAAAATATATAAAGAAAAAACATTTACTTTTAATAATATATTAAAATCTTACTTCTTTAATATGTTCTTTACTACACTTTGAGATTTTGTAAGCTATTTTATTTTTGAAAGGAATTATTGTCCATCCACTATTAGAACCAAAGCTTTTTTTACCCAAAAAAAACTTAATGGCAAAATTTGAGTTTGGTACATCTAAATCATCCAAATAAACAATTGGTGCAAGTGCAAATGCAAGATCTATTTTTGATGACATTTCTGGTTTTTCAGAAGCCATCACAAAGAATGATGTAGTTCCCATTGAAAAACCCATGTAAATTACATTTTTTCCCGTGTTACTTGTCACATAATTTATCATTGCTGGCAAATCTTGAGTGCCTATCTCATGAAAACTAAAATAAATTAAATTTCATTATTATTATTATCTGGTTTGATATAAATAATCATTTTTAAATTACCTATAATTCCAAAATTCTTCATCTGTATTTTCAAGAATAGTGTGAGTTCTGCTATAAACACTACTTCGAGAGTTACCTAACCATACATCGTATTCCAAATTTGCCAATTTAATAGCTGGATTATAAAATTTTATTTAATAATATCATATAAGGAATATTAGAAATTTTTTTTTTCAATTTTTATTCTTTACCAAGAGAATCATTTTCAATAAGAATCCAAGAATCAGAGCTTCCAAGTATGCCATGTTGCAAAAATATAGGTGTTGATCCTGGAGGACCAGGAATCCTGAACATTGTTAATAAATAACCATCTTCTGTTTGAACAGTATGTGATTGCAACGTATGTCCTGCATTGTTAACTATTTTCATCTTGCAAATATAAAAAATATATTATATTTTTTTTTATTCAAATTTTTTTTTTAAAAATAAAAAAAAAAGATTTGAAAAAAAAACTATACATTTGGATAATGAAATTTTTATTTTTTATTTCATTATGTTGGAATTTAATTTTAATATTGAATGTTCTTTTGATTGAAAAATAGTCAAAAAAAAGCAAAATTTCAAAAAAATGTGATTTATTTCTATCGAAGGTTTTTAATGTCACTGAATTTGATTTTTGGATTAGAATTTAAAAATTCTAAATAGAAGATTCAATATATGTCGAATAAAATTTTTATAATGCTTTTAATTTATTATTATTCGGCAAGTTTTTTTTTGGTGGTCGCTATGACCATTTAAGTATACAATTTAAAAACATTACTGGTAGAGAAAGCGTAGCATCAGTAGCACAACATACACTAATCAGGAACTCAAGAATCACAATGCTAAAAATTAATTGTACCATTTCTGAAATTAAAAGTTTTTTTTTGCAATTTTATTATAATTTTTTTTTTTCAACTACAATATTAATATTATATAATAATTTTAATTCTTAAAAATATTAAAATAAATTAAATATTCATTTATTAGTAAAATATTTACCGAAAATAAAGAATTGTAGTTTTTCAATAGCAGTTAAAACAGTAGAGCTTTACAATACTTTTTTAAAAATATTTAGCCATATATTTCATTAAATGACACGTGTCAAATGGTAGATATTTTTTTTAACTTATTTTTTATTTGTTGAAAAGATATGAGTATATACTTTTAAACGATTTTATGACATACTGCATATCGTAAATTATACGGAAATTCACGACATATCATGTCGAATAAATTTTATAATATACAGCTTTTAAACAACAACAACAAAAAAAAAAAAACTTTAAAATATTAATTCCGAACACATTATTTTTTGTCTCTTATGTAGTTAATTTCATAAAAAAAATATCAACGTGACAATACAATTTTATTTTCAACTGTAATCTCATATGTCACATGTGGTTTTTATTTCTTTTTCGTTACGATTTTACAGTTATCTGGAAGATTATTTTTTATTTTGCTGCAAAAGTCTTAAGAAACTTAAATAAGAAAAAATATATTAAATATATTTGTGACCTGGACAGTTAAAAGAGACCTTTTGTCCGAAAAAATCGATTTTTTATTGATTCGTGATTCTGATAGAGAAAACTTTTTTCTATCAGAATCACCAATCAATAAAAAATTAATTTTTTCGGACAAAAGGTCCCTTTTAACTGTCCAGGTCACATTTTAAATTACGTCACGTAAATTAAGTTTTATGTTAGACACATTTATTGAAATTTTATTGAACCTAATTTAAACCTATATTAATCTAAATTGAACTCTTATTATACACCTACATTCGACCTAACTAAAACAAAATTAAAACTACATTTGACCTACGTTAAACTTAAATTAAAATTAATTTAAACCTATATTTGACCTACTATAAACACATTTTGAACCTACATTTAACCTACGTTAATCCTACATTGAACCTGCATTGGAAATATTTAAAAGCAGCATTATACCTACTCTAAACATACTTTAAACCTTTTTTGAACTTTTATAAGACCTACTTTGAATTCACATTAAACCTACATTAGACCTACATTAGACCTATATTAAACCTGCATTGTACTTATTTTAATCCAGAGTCTGGACAAACTCTGAATATACTTTAAACCCTCTTTGAACCTTTATAAGACCTACTTTCAATCTACATTAAACCTCATTAAACCTATATTACAACTACATTGAACCTGCATTAAAAATATTTAAAAGCAGCATTGGACCTTCTATAAATATACTTAGAACCTAGATTGGACCTACTTTGAACCTTTATTAGATCTAGTTTGAATTTACATCAAACCTACATTAAATCTAAATTAAACCTACATTAGACCTACATTAGACCTACATTAGACCTACATTAGACCTACATTAGACCTACATTAGACCTACATTAGACCTACATTAGACCTACATTAGACCTACATTAGACCTATATTAGACCTACATTAGACCTACATTAGACCTACATTAGACCTACATTAGACCTACATTAGACCTACATTAGACCTACATTAGACCCACTTTAGACCTACATTAGACCTATATTAAACCTTCATTGTACTTATTTTAATCCAGAGTCTGGACAAACTCTAAATATACTTTAAACTTTCTTAGAACCTTTATAAGATTTACTTTCAATCTACATTAAACCTCATTAAACCTACATTACAACTACATTGAACCTGCATTGGAAATATTTAAAAGCAGTACTAGACCTACTCTAAACATACTTTAAACATATATTTGACTTACTTCGATCTATATTAGACCTACTTTAAACCTTTATTTCCTCTACATTGAACCTATATTGGATCTACTAAAAAACAGGATTAGTCCTGCTTTAAATCTACTTTGAACCTACATTAAACCCTTAATTGTAATACTTTCAACTTTTTTATACCTATTTTAAATCTACATTTGATTCACGTTGAATCTACCTTAGACCTTATATTTAAACGTAACTCAGACCTATTTTCACCTTCATTGAACCTACTTTAAATCTACATTAGACATTCATTTTACCTACATTTTGTCTACTTTTAACTTACTTTAAACCTTCATAAGACCTACTTTAAATGAAATTAGACCTACTTTAAACCTGCTCTAGATCTAAGTTAAACCATTATTTCACCTGGTTTGGACTTGTAGAGGTCCTAATATTTTGAATCTTCATTGGACCAAACGTATCCTACATTAAACCTAAATTAAGCATATATTGAACCAGTGTTGAACCTACTTTGATCCTACACTGAACTTAAATTCAAATTTTCTCAAATAAAATTAAATACATGTAATTTCTATATCCAATCAAAAATTATTTCTAATCTTAAAGTTAATCGATTTTTCTTTTATAGAATATAGGATTTATCAATTCAAACGAATTTTTTATTACCTACCTTGATTGATTACAGTAATTTTTAATTCAATATAAGTATATATATAATGAAAAAAAAATATATGTATATATATATGAAATAATAATAATATGTAACAACGCTCATGATATCGTTTCGGGTCATCTATTGAATTACTCATAAATTGAAATTAGAGCTTATCAAGTATATAATGTCAACAATTATTAGAAAGTCATTGAACATTGAAACCTTTGGAGTTCAATAGCACTCCTTGCATATACAATTTATGATTCTCGTTGCCATCGTTGACCATAACCGTCAATTTATTGTGAAGCATATTACCTTTCACACATATTGTTTTGCTCCAAGTTAATCGTTAATCTTCTCTTCTGTCTTATTTACATTGCTTAATTGAACATTGCTTTTTGCCTTGAAATAGAAAATGTGAGCATATATATATACCTGTAAGAGATATAACAAAATTTATTTCTCCAATTACTATAAATATTTGTCATCTTGTGAGAGAAAATAATTAAAATATTTATAAATTACGTTATATAATATATAAATTCTTTTAAAAAATTCTCAAAAATATTAAAATAACCTTTAAACTGATAGGTGCGACAAAAAATTATATTTAGTGCTTTCTTTGGTCTGTAAATTTTATTTACACATAAAATGGAAAATTTTAAACAAATAAATGAAAAACACTTGACAATAGAAGACCACGATCGATTGAGATCAATTTCAACTGATTACAGTGATTCAGTGTCACTAACCACTTGACTTGCGCGCCACAATTTTTTATACTTATACTACAATCCAAGATGGCCGCTACAAATCAAGTTCCATCAATTAGCATTGTCTATTGAGAGGTATATAAAGATCAGTGGGTTTATGCCAGTATGACGGTTGAGAAATAAGGTGTTTTTTAGGAATTTTTTTAATGAAAATTTTTCTATCGAATATTTTGAAAATGGCCGATTTTTTTTTTTAATTTAATAGTATTTGCTTGAAACTCCTTACTCAGGGATGTTTGCAGGCCTTGATTACAAATCTAGTGTTAATTTTAAACAATTTAAAATTACGTATCCAATCTAGCGGAGTATTTTTTAAAAATTTGAAGAAAATTGCATAATTATTTTTATGATTTGTGAGTCATACAAAAAGTTTTTTTATTTTATATCCGCCATTTTGAATTTTGACAATTTAACATCAGATTCGTCATCAGCGACCCAAAAAACCCCTAGATATCAAGGTTTAAAAAAAATTTAATAACTTTTTAAAATTTTGACCGACATATTGAATCCGCCATTTTGAATTTTGAAAATCTGACATCAGATTAATAATCAGCGACCCCGAAAACCCCCAGATACCAAGTTTTATAAAATATTAATAATTTTGAAAAGATATTCACTTTTTATTTAGGGGCTGTTTTCACCCCTAAAAACCACAAATGACTTGATCTAGCAAAGCGGTCAGACACGGGTTTTTTTTTTGGATCCTACCTAGATAGCACGGAAACTTGCAGCAAGCTTGCGGCAAGTTCACCGTACAAGCTTGCAGCAAGCTTGTCTGAGCTAGCGAAATGTCCCACCCAGGGCAAGCTTGCCGTGAAAGCTTGCTGTAAGCTTTCCAGGAAAGGTTGCTGCAATCTTGCCATGAAAGATTGCTACAAGCATACTAAGAATGATTGCGGCAAGCTTGCCGTGAAAGATTGCTGTAAGCTTGCTACGTAAAGTTGCAGGAGAATTTCAACAAGCTTTTGTAAAGATTGCTGTAAGCTTGCTGCAATTTTTAAAAAATACATTTTAAATTTAAAAAAAATTTATTTGTTTTTTTTTAAATTTGAAAATCCTTGTGACGTTTATTATTATTAATTATGTCCTGTTTATTTTTATTTGGAAACTTAACGAGAAAATTTTCGAAACTAATTTGAGGGGACTGGGAATTGAACCCGGGTTCGACAGACACTAACCAAAGACCCTAACCGAGAACCTACTCGACCAACTATCAGAGAATAAAAAAAAATCTTGTTCTTAACCCTCGACTGTTTTTATGAGTTGAAAAACAGTTGAAAAACGTGGATTAAGAGCAAGATTTTTTTATTCTCTGATAGTTGGTCGAGTAGGTTCTTGGTTAGGGTCTTTGGTTAGTGTCTGTCAAACCCGGGTTCAATTCCCAGTCCCCTCTAATTTGTTTCGAAAATTTTCTCGTTAAGTTTCCAAATAAAAATAAACAGGACATAATTAATAATAATAAACGTCACAAGGATTTTCAAATTTAAAAAAAAAAACAAATAAATTTTTTTTTAATTTAAAATGTATTTTTTAAAAATTGCAGCAAGCTTGCAGCAACCTTTCCAGAAGCTTGTTGAAATTCTCCTGCAACCTTACGTAGCAAGCTTACAGCAATCTTTCACAGCAAGCTTGCCGCAATCATTCTTAGTATGCTTGCAGCAATCTTGTAGCAATCTTTCATGGCAAGATTGCAGCAACCTTTCCTGGAAAGCTTACAGCAAGCTTTCACGGCAAACTTGCCATGGGTGGGACATTTCGCTAGCTCAGACAAGCTTGCACGGTAAGCTTGCCGCAGACTTGCTGCAAGTTTCCCTGCTATCTGGGTGGTTTCTAAAAATGTTGGATTTTTTTGTGGGTCAAAAAAAAAGTTGAATTTTGTCGGACGGTGTTATGAAATATAACCATACAAACTAAAATGTTAATTACTTGAGTTAAAATTTGTTTTATAATAGAAGAAAAAGATTGACATAATGTCAAAAAAAAAAAACTAACACCAAAGTACTTCCGATTTATTCAAAAAATTGAATCATCATTTCATGTGTGAAAATCGTGTAACTTGATTC